AGCTAAAGCCTCCCAGACAAAACTCCCCTAACAACATACCTCAAGCAAGCTCCACTAAAACAGAAGAAGCAACTGTTGAAAAACAAAAGGCAAGTTACGCTGAAACTGCAAAAAAGAAAACTACTCGTTCTGACACCAGGGAACTGTGCGAAAAGTTATTAGAAATTATCAAAACCTTCTTACAATGAAAGACAAATTACTTTTAAAAATCGTTAATTTCGCAAAATAAAATCGCAATTTCAAAAATCATCAAATCCAACTATACAAGAATTTGTTCAAAATCAAGGTGACCTCAGTCACCGAATCCGACGACCTGGACCCAATGGCTAGCTGACAGCCAAACACCCAACAACTGCCCTCCTGTAAGGTTCCGGGGGCCACTCCAGCATTACAACTCGCCATGGGTAAATAATCTGGACAAGGTGACTCGCGAGCTGTGCTCGAATGTAACACCTGCAAATTGAGATGAAATAAATAAAAAATTGATTCCCTCCGTGTCTGTACTCGATCAACGCTCTAGTCTTTACCGCTCTTCTTCAACGCTCCGACGCTCTCTCGCCATGGATTCCAGCAAGAAGAAGAAAGCCAGCAAGCCCTCTCAACCCTCGGTGAACATCGCGGTTTTTGTTAAAGAAGACAACATGGTCATCTCCCGCCACTACCAAATCCTGCAATCCCTCGGCCAGCCCGCCCTAGCAGCTCTTCACCTGCACCTTGTCCGCTTCATTGAGCAGCGGACGGAAATAATCAAGTGCCTAGTTAGGGATGTGAAGAACCTTGCGGGCACCGTGAATGACTTCCTGGAGCTAAATGAAATCATGGATGCCCAAATGCCCAAGAAAACCTGCCAAACCACTCAAACTGGCCCTGCTCCCACCTGCAAGGACTTTAGCGCTCAGACCGAGCCCATTAAGCCTGCCACCCCCGCTCCAGCTGCTGTCCCTGTGGCAGCACCTGCTCCCAAGAAGCCAGATCCTGCTCTAACCAAAAGGAAGCAGCCAGAGACGTCAAACCCGCCCGCTAAGAGGAGAAAACCACTGGTTCCTGTCAAGCCTGCATCCTTCCGCGCCCCCAAGTCTGCCATTGCCAAAGGCACCCTCAATGGGAAGAAATCTGCGGCCCACATCGTGGTTATTGCAGATAACCCGCAGGCTGACCCACGGGACATCCTCAAAGCTGTCCGCGCTGCCCACACTCTGCCCCAAGGCGTCTCTGCGCACCAGGGGAAAACTGGTGCTGCACTCCAACACTCCAGAGGCCATTCCTGCCGTCAGCTCTGCCCTGGACAACAAGCTCCAAGGGCTGAAAGTCCGGGAACTGAGGCAATTCCTACCAAGAATCTGCCTCTTCAACGTGGAGGCGGAAACCGCGGATGAGGACATTGTCAAGGCCTTCCTTTCCACCGATGCCCTCAGCCAGCTTCCTGGAGACAAGTCTGTCCGAGTGGCACACAGATCTCCGACCAGAAATGGCACCTGCACGGCCTTCAGCAAGTGGAACTAGGCTTCCTACAAGGCCATTCGAAGACACGGTAAGTTCATTGTGGACCAAATGATCCTGAACTACGAGGAGTCTGTCCGCGTCTGCTACCGCTGCTATGGCTACGGCCACAACGCCGATAGGTGCACCAAGGCTACGGTCACCTGCTTCCACTGCGCTTCTGGTGATCACCAAGGCCGAAGCTGTCCAACTCTCTCTAACCCGCGCACGGCCAAGTGCGCCAACTGCTCAGCCAAGGACTTCTCTGCCGACCACAAGGCAAGATCAATGTCTTGCCCAACTGCCAGAGCTAGAGCTGCAAAGTTCTAGTCCTCGCGCCTGCCTCCTGACCTCCGCGGACCCAATCCGGCCTAACCTGCCTCTTCCCTGACGGAGATCCTGTCCCTAGCCTGGTCATAGTGCTTTGTATATATTCCGCTTTGCGCGGCCATTGGGGCTCAAAAATCATTTTATTTTGGTTAGCAGTCCCGTAAATAAAGATATTTCCGTTACTTAAAAAAGAAATAAATACTTTCTTTCAAAACTTCCCTATTACTCTTGCTGGTTAACGCCAAACAAACACGAGGACGTTACAGTCTCTATGCGACCAGTAATCTCTCTTTCATCATGTTGGTGTCCCATCTTCCCTGGTACCTATTTGCCATAGTTTTGATGTCCTGGCGAAATCTTTCACCTTGTTCATCATTCATATCATGTAAATTGTCAGGAAAGAAGTCCAAATTGGTATACAAGTAATGCAATTTTATACTCATTGCTGACCAGGATTTTTGAAGTTTGCCAGCATGTTGTTTGTTATATATTGATAGTTATCAGCTCTGTAGTTAGCCAGAATGTTTAGAACCACCAAGATGAACGAATTCCAAACACTGAATTCAAGTTTATTCATTGAGTTGACAACATTTGTGTCATTTATGAATTGTCGTATCCGAGGGCCATCAAATATGCTATCCTTCAGTTTTTCATCATTGAGTCTAAGAATATTTACGGTCTGTATATTGACAACAGGACCCATCATGTTTATTATGGTCCTTAACAAGCTGTTTTATCAACCCTAATTTTATACGAGGTGTGTTCAAAAAGTATCGCGAATTTTGAATTTTCGCGGGTTACGTATATTCGAATTTCGATAATTTTGTGGCTTTATGTTGGTACTCATGTCTCTCACTTATGCCGACAAGCTCGGCCATTTTGAATGTTCACTTAATTGTTGACAGCTGCTTTGCTTGCAGGTGTTTTGGATCGTCTTCGATTTTTACCTATTAAAAAAAGGGATCAAAGAACCTGTATCAAATTTTGTGTGAAAAACGAAATTAAGTGCGCGGATGCATTCCGAATGTTGACTGTGGCATACGGAGAAGCTACCTTGGACCGAAGCAACGTTTATCGGTGGTACAAAATGCTCTCAGAAGGCCGAGAAGATGTGAACGACGAAGAGCGTGCCGGACGCCCGAGCACTTCAACAACAGACGAAAAAATTAATGAAGTGGAGTAAATGATATTGGCCAATCGTCGAATCAGCGTTAGAGAAGTTGCTGAGGACCTAAACATATCGATTGGCTCGTGCCATTCGATTTTTATCAATGATTTGGGCATGAGATGGGTCGCCGCGAAATTCGTACCAAAATTGCTCAATTGCGACCAAAAACAGCATCGCATGAACATTGCTAATGAGATGTTGGACTCTGTCCGCGACGACCCAAATTTGCTCCAGAGGGTCATAACTGGTGACGAAGCGTGGGTTTATGGTTATGACGTGGAAACCAAAGCTCAATCATCTTAATGGAAGCTGCCGCACGAACCAAGACCGAAAAAAGCGCGCCAAGTTCGGTCGAATGTGAAAGTTTTGCTGACAGTTTTCTTCGATTGCAGGGGCGTGGTGCATCATGAGTTCTTGCCACAGGGTAGAACGGTCAATAAGGAATATTACCTGCAAGTTATGCGCAATTTGCGCGAAGCAATCCGCCAGAAACGCCCGTATTTGTGGAAGAACAAAAATTGGCTTTTGCACCACGATAACGCCCCTGCTCACACATCGTTGCTTGTGCGCGACTTTTTGGCCAAAAACAACACACTAATGATGCCGCAGCCACCGTATTCCCCAGATCTGGCCCCCTGTGACTTTTTCTTGTTCCCTAAACTGAAGAGGCCCATGAAAGGACGACGTTACGCTACGCTTGACGAGATAAAGACGGCATCGAAGGAGGAGCTGAAAAAGATTTTTAAAAATGATTTTTTGAAGTGCTTCGAAGATTGGAAAAACTGTTGGCACAAGTGTATAATATCTCATGGGGATTACTTTGAAGGGGACAAAATAGGTATTCATGAATAAATAAATAATTTTTGAAAAAACATTAAAGTCGCGTTACCTTTTGAACACACCTTGTATGTGGAGACAGAATGATTTTTTCTCGAGAAATGAGAGGCTGATGTTCACCAACATCCATGTTCTCCCTCACAGATTCTTCTTATCCACTAATTATGTTTTTTTTTTGCTAATCCTTAGTACACATGGTACAGGCCATGATAATCATGGTGGGTAGAAGTAGGCGACTGCTTTTACTGTAAGTGCACCACATGTCTATACATGTGAAAAGCAGTTCGACTTTTGCACTTACAAATGTGTCAGAGCCCTGTTTGGTTACTTGCACTCGCTGGTGGGGTTGGACTTTTGCAAGAATCGGGGGCCATTGGAGCATTTTTTTTTTAAATCGGAAAAAGGTGCCCAATGCGGGAATCGAACCCGGGTCGTAGCGGTTGAAAACCAACGGTTTAGACCATCCTTGCACCGATCCCCTAGTGATAATGTTTAGCTCTGATATCCCAGAGTCACAAGAAATATTTCATGTAGACACCTTACTGACTAAGAAAAGAAAATTCAACATTTTGAGATCAACACAAACTGTCCATTGATGCTTGTTGAACTGATGAAAACGGAATTGTTAATTTATAGCGCGCGCGCGCATTCCTCCACCGACCCCTGTAATTTCCAAGTGATATGTCCCTTGTGTTGTTGTTGCTTATTCCTTAAGTCATTTAAATGATCTCCATTAGGTTCCATTGTCTCAACTTTTCTATCATAGTCCTGGGGTTTTCCCAGAGGTCTTTTTTTTGGAGGATTTGATACAATTCAATAGATGTTCAGGACTGGCAGGCTGGGAATGTTCTGATTTTTCCATTAAATTTGAGCATTCTAAGATGTCCTTTTCGTAATCTTGAAATCACCGTTTGTTCTTCCCTGGTAAGGGTGTGGAAAGTAGATTCATTAGAAATGGAGGTGTAGCAGGGGTGGTTTAAGGTGGATTTCCAGAGAGAGCTTATTTTTTCAATACAATATAATGTGGCCTATGATTGTAAAATGACATTAGAAAATTATCCCACAAATGTTTCTTTTGAACGAAAAATCGAAATTTATTTTAAGGAGAAATAACGATTATTTCTAACCATAGGGATGAGGTATGATAGGATGAATTGTGAAGAGTAATGATAAACAAAAAATAAAGTGTCCAGGGATGGGAATCGAACCCACAGTGTTCCGCTTACTGGGCAGATGCCATGTCCACTAGGCTACCCTAGACATATTTTTCCGTTCGTAAATAATATAAAAAGTAATTATCAATACAATATGATGCGGCTTAAGATTGTAAAACGACATTAGAAAATTATCCCACAAATATTTCTTTTGAAAAAAAAATCGAAATTTATTTTAAGGAGAAATAACGATTATTTCTAACCATAGGGATGAAGTATGAAAGGATGAATTGTGAAGAGTAATTTTTTGTTTGTGGATGGAAGAAATTTCAGAATAGGTGAGTTGGGAGTTTTCAGGCTGGCCCTTACAGCCTTCTTTAGCCTAATGTATATGTCCCTTATAAAGATTGATAACAATAGAAATTAGTATAACAAGAGAGCTGTTTATTTATTCAAATGGTGGGAACACAATTGTGTATTCCACACACACCTCCAATATATAAACAATAACAACAATATATATAAAGAATTATATAAACAAATATAATACAAAATATATAGATAGATATTTACATAATATAGAACTTTTAAAAATAAAATAACAAAATCAAATTTTTTAGTATGACAACATTTTTTTTTCAAAAATATAATAATTAATTTTTGGCATTTTAAAAATAACGAGATTGGATGATTTTATAATAAAATTTTATACAGTAGAGCTACCTCTCTGTAAAGAACACCTAATTGTAGATCCAAAGTGTTCTTTAGGGAGAGAGCTGTCCTCTTACCGGAGAGTTTCTAAATTGTAAAAATGGTAATTTTGCAAATGAAAACTGTCCTTTGTAGAGAGGTGTCTGCTAAAAGGAAGTTCTACTGTATATGAATTTGAGAATCATAGAGAGATAGAAAAAAAAAGTTTAATGTGTTACATTTTATATACTTTCAGTTGGAGATAAATTGAGACAGAAAAGAAAAAAAAAAGTCTTTGTACTGTGTGTTCATCTAAAAAAATCTTATACAGTAGGGAATATAGGGAACCTACACTCATGAACAAAACTTAAGAAAGTGAAAAGTTTTTTTTTTAAAGAAAACAGAGGCAATTTTGTTCACATTTTGTTATCTAGTGTCTTCAATAAAGGTCGTTGTGTATCAAATATCTTTCAGAGCAATTTTGTTCACACTTGTTAATCGTGTGTCTTTAATAAAGGTCACTGTAATATCTTTCAGAGCAATTTTGTTCACACTTGGTTAGCTTGTCTTCAATAAAAGTCACTGTGTATAAAACATCTTTCAGTTATTGTCCCGATATACCTACTAAAAGGTACAACTTTCCTTAAGTTTTGTTCATGAGTGTAGTTGCAAAGCCAAAATGCCCTTAGAAAGATGTGTCCTCTTTCCTGAGAGTTTTTAAATAATCAAAATGGTCATTTAGGGTATGAAATCTGTCCTTTATCATGAGTGTTCTTTCATGGAGGTTCTACCGTATATACATATAAATGAATTGCTGAATGGTGCGAGTTAATCATCAAAAACTACTGAAATTCCACATCATAGTTCATCATATATATGATGACGAAACATCGAGGGGCCATCGTGTTGGTCGACGATGAGATTGCGGAGCTGGTAATATGGATGGCTGTGCTGGAGTAAACCTCCTTTTTTGTGTCTGGATGCTATATTTATGCCAAACTAAATAATTTAGTCCCTATTTCTGCTCCGCGCTTATGGAATTGAAAACTTGGGGAGATGGCGTTGACCTTTCATATTAAATCTTACTTTTCTTTATTACTAATAATTGTATATAGTTGCGGAACTACTGGTTTCCTGTGCTGCTCTTTTCCTGATATTGCACCTTTTACGGAGAATCTGTATAAGACTAATGTCTTAATAAAGGCTTTGTGTGTGTGTTTATCATATATAGGCTGTTCAAAAATATATTTTGTGAAAATTTCGTTCAAGATGATTCTAAATACAGTAGAACTACCTCCCTGTAAAGGACAACACCTAATTGCAGAGCTAAAGTGTCCTTTAGGGGGAGGTATCTTCTTACCGGAGAATTGCTAAATAGTAAAAATGGTAATTTTACAAATGTAAACTGTTGTTGTAGTTCTAATCCAAATTATACCTTATCATTAGAGAAAGAGGTTGTTAAAAGGATGATGATGATAATTTAAGAGATTCATAGATTCAAAGAAAAAAAAAGGAGAAATTTAAGAAAAAAAAAATGCAAGCTACAATATATAAATACAGTAAAACATTAACATGAAAATAAGATTCCATCTTTCCATACAAGGATGAATTTAAGATTTTATTATATTTCTAGATTTCTAGTTTAAAAATACTTTTCTACACATACATAGGATAACATTATACAGTAAATTAAGGAAATAATGATAAAGCACAATATGCACAAAAGAATGTGTGGCCACTGGACATGTGTCGGACCTGGAGGCTGTTGTTGGGTTCTGTGCTGCCTGGAGTATAGGAGCTCCATCTATGCTTCCGTTCTTCCTGTGGTGAATCTGTTTAAGACCGGTGGTCTTAATAAAGCTGTGTGTGTGTGATAAAGCACAATTTGGATTATAGATAAAGCAAATTAAATTAAGCAAAAAATGATTAGGTACAATTTGGATTAGAGATTAGAAAAACACAAGGTACAGTAGAACTACCTCCCTGTAAAGGACAACACCTAATTGCAGAGCCAAAGTGTCCTTTAGGGAGAGGTGTCCTCTTACCAGAGGAGTTGCTATATTGTAAAAATGGTAATTTTGCAAATGAAAACTGTCCTTAGTAGAGAGGTGTCTTCTAGTGCGAGTGTCCTCTTATGGAGGTTCTACTGTATATACAGAAGAACCTCCCTGTAAAGGACAACACTTATTTGCAGAGACAAAGTGTTCAATAAAGATAGATGTCCTCTTACCGGAGAGTTGCTAAATTAGTAAAAAATGGTAATTTTGACAATGCAAACTGTCCTTTGTAGAGAGGTGTCCTCTAGTGTGAGTGTCCTCTCATGGAGGTAGTTCTACTGTATATACAGAAGAACCTCCATGTAAGGGACACCTAATTGTAGAACCAAAGTGTTCTTTAGGGAGAAGTGTCATCTTACCAGAGAATTGCTAAATCAGTAAAAATGGTAATTTTCGACAATGGAAACTGTCCTTTGTAGAGAGGTGTCTTCTAGCGGGAATGTCATCTTATGGAGGTTGTTCTACTGTATATGGCCAGAGATAAGGGGGAATGTAATTATGTAAATATAAGTAAAAAAAAAAAGATGCTCTAAGATAGAATTGATTGAAACTCTTGATAGTTCCTGACTCATAATGGTCACAAGATCCAAATAGCTAATACAGTAGAACCTCCCTGTAAAGGACATCTAATTTCAGAGCCAAAGTGTTCTTTTTAGAGAGGTATCCTCTTACCAGAGAGTTTTTAAATAGTAAAAATGGTAATTTTGTAAATGAAAACTGTCCTTTGTAGAGAGGTGTCCTCTTACCAGAATGTTGCTAAATAGTAAAAATGGTAATTTTGCAAATGAAAACTGTCCATTGTAGAGAGGTCTCCTCTTACCGGAGAGTTACTAACTAGTAAAAATGGTAATTTTGCAAATGAAAACTGTCCATTGTAGAGAGGTCTCCTCTTACCGGAGATTTACTAACTAGTAAAAATTGTAATTTTGCAAATGTAAACTGTCCTTTGTAGAGAGGTGTCTTCTTACCAGAGAGTTACTAAATAGTAAAAAATGGTCATTTTGCAAATGAAAACTGTCCTTTGTAGAGAGGTGTTCTCTTACCAGAGCGTTACTAACTAGTAAAAATGGTAATTTTGTAAATGAAAATTGTCCTTTGTAGAGAGGTGTCCTCTAGCGCGAGTGTCCTCTCATGGAAGTTCTACTGTAATAATATAAATAATAAAATAAAAAGAACCCATCACTTAGTTAGGAAAGAAGCAAAGATAGTTAAAGACTGAGTTGAAATGAAGGAAAGCACATAAAGGGATTTTCTCTTATTGACTAACTAAAAATTCTTTCCTTATATGCATCAATTAAAAAAAAAATCACTATCTAAAAAAATATAAATGCCTAGAAAATACAGTGCAGTAGAGAGAATCACTCTCTAAAAGACAACATTTAGTTGCTAAAACAAAGTGTCCTGAAAACTGTCCTTTTGTAGAGAGGTGTTCCTCTAGTGGGAGTGTCCTCACATGGAGGTTGTTCTACTATACAAGAAATAGAATGTCTGGCTTGTAAGGTATCCCCGGAACACATCTTGCAGTGCTGTGGGCTAAACAACAAGATATCTACAACAGCAAGTCATCAATATACTAAGAAAGCATGGTCTGTTGGTTTAAGCAATCAAATGATGGATTAGAGAAAAACAACAAGAAATTATATATATATATGCTTGGTATAAGAGATTTTTATAAAAATAAATGAAATTTCTGGAGAGGAAGTAGCAGAATCTAAATAAATGATGATGATCTCTGTCCTATTTCAAAATTTAACTGGTTAATAGAGCTGAAAAAAAAAAAGAAACTGATAACCATTAGACCATCTTTCTTGAGATAAGAAAGAAGAAGAGATCTGGAAGGAAGATAAAATTAGAGAAGTTCTCAACCTTTCTACAAAAGGTAGGAGTCTTACATATATGAAAAATCTAAAAAAATTAAATCTAGGGCACATATATTAAATGGTACAATCAATCAATCCTCCACCGTGTCGAGTTTGTCCCCTTTTTGGATAATTTGTCACCTTTGGTCAGGAGAGGAATGTCTCTGTTAGAACTGTGGTCGAGTAACTTGTACTGTGGCCATATAGCGAGAGGCAACAACACAAAAAATCATTTCACACAAGTAGATACCAAGGAAAGAACGATCATTTGAGCCTGAAACTCCAGAAATGAGGAAGTTTTCCAGTTCTCTTCCTACGGTAACAGTCCAGCGCTAGCTTGGCTGCAATAGCGATGGTAGCAACGCCGAGAAGAGTGTTGACAACATCGAGATAATGGGTGATACTTAGGGACTGAGAAAGACAGAGTTCTGGTTTAGGTAACTTGTAGATTGGCCGGCCATCTTCCTTACATGTGATGGTAGAGATCTCCGTGACCATCTT